TTACAGTCAGTTTTTTAAAATTATGGAAAGACTTTAAGAAATTACTGCAAATATTTGCAAAATCATATGTTGATAAGGTTGTAGATTTTTAAAAATGTCTTTTTCATAGTGCTTTCTGTATTTTCCAACTGTGAATATATATTTTTAATTGAAAAAGGTTAGACTACTCAGATTATATTTTAAAGAATAAAATCTATGTTACCATGATTTTCCATGTTTTTTTACCATGATTTTTCACGTGAGAGTGTGTATGTTTAGGTCATTTGAACATTGTCTTGCCTTGTTATAGGAGACAGCTGACTTTGAAGAAGGGACCAAACTGAGAGATTTCTGGGTTCTGGCTCCCATTGTGCCACTGTTGGCTTTAGATCTGAGTTTTGCTTCTTTTCATTTTTTGTCCATAATGTCTGAAACTTGGACTAGGATCTCTTGAAGTTTTAAAACACTGATAAAAAGAGTCTCTTCAAAAAAGGAAAAGAGCCATACTTTGTCTTACAGTTGTAACTATTTATTAAGGATTTTTAAGTGGATAACTAAATGAAGGTCATAGCTAGAAAATTTCTTAAGGGCGTTTGGATCTTATTTACAAAGAGAAAAATAGAGGTCAAGAAAAGTCAAGAAACCTATGACCTCAATTAGTATTCATTCTTTTAATAAATAATACTTCACTCTCAATTTAGTGATTAGACGTCATCTTTAAAATAGTAGGTAAAGTGAAAAATTGTCTAATTATGTATTCCAATAATTTTCATCATTTCATAAATGTGCTCCATTAGGAAAATCATTGCCAAATAATGAAAACCTAACTATATGTTAACATAATTCAGGGGACAAGTTGTCCATGTTGTTTAATGCACACTTAGTTATCTTCCCTCATCTATATAAGAAAAGTTCATTGAATGGAAAATTGATCCAGTTATACGCACATTCATTAAAAGGATAAGTGTAGGGCCAGCCCAGTGGCGCACTGGAGAGTGCGCCGTTTGGGAGCGCAGCTGCGCAGCCGCCGAGGGTTCGGATCCCATGTGGAGACCGGTTCCCGCTCACTGGCTGAGCGCGG